GAGTGAGGAAGTGTTTGAGTGAGTGAATGAGTAAGAATGTGAGTAAGTGAATTAATGGTATGTGAATGACTCAATTAGAAAGAAAGTGAATGAGTGAGTGAGATAATGAGTGACTGCATAAGTAGTAAGTGAGTAAATGAATGGGAAAGTGAGTTGGGGAGTCAATAAGTGAGTGAGTGGATGACTGAATGAGCGAGACAGTGAGCGAATGAGTGTTTGAGGGCGTTTGTGAAAAAACGATTTAAAGAATAAAGCGTCGGTGAGTAAGTAAGTTATTTTGTGAGCCTGGGCATGTGGGTTAATAAGTGAATAAATAAGTCAATGAATGAGAGCATAAGAATTAAGCGCTTCATACGAGCACCAGATAGTAAGTACGTGAGTTTTTGGTAACAGCCACAGAGGGTTCCGAATTTCGCACTGTAAACTTTTAACGAAAAGAGATTATGCGTTATTATTTATTTTCCAGTTGTTTATTCCCCTGTGGCAAAACAAAGTATTTGCCTTTGATATGTAAATACTTTAATGAATGCAATAAGGTAAATTCAATTTGTTGCACAACAGGCAGTGATCCCAGAAGAAGGATGATGACTGAGCAAACACAGCGTGGGAGATAACATGAATGTAATGCGGGGGCTAGAGGAAAGAGACCTTCGGAAGGCCGGTAAGGGTGAAAAAGCAAGGAAAGTGAATAAAGTGAAGAAGGAAAGAAGGTCGTTGGAATCAAATGAGTGTAGTTCGAGCCGAGGGCTAGCAGTTGGCTGGTATGGGTGAGTGAGAGGTGTTTGTGGGACCAGTATGCTACTGCATAAAAGAAAAAAGCACATCTGCTAAACGAAGGGCAGTCAAATGATAAGTGAATGACCGTCACTTGGTCTGGACATTGGGAAATAAAACGTCTCCGCCCTCAACTACACACATGCATACATACGTATGTATGTGAATGCCATAAATAAATACACATACTCATAGACATACATTGCATGACTTAAAGCACACTCGTTGGCAAAAACGTACGAGGCATGAGTTGCTTGTACTGTTGCTGTTGTGGTGGCAGTGGTGGCAAGTAGTGTTTGTTTGCATAATGAAAAATACCCTCGGGACGTGTTAATGCAGGCACATTGTTTGCTATGCTCTGTCTATCGTTTTCCCACAAACACACAGGCACACTCACATTCATGCCTCGACTTTATTTCCGCCACCCCCTCTCAAATCTTGGTGGTTTCAGCATCAATGCGTGGGCAAAAGTAGTGGGTGCCCATGGCCAAGGTTGAGCGAGCTAATAGCTTGCAACCAGGTTGCTGCGGAGGATGAGCTAGAAAGTGGAGAGTATTGCAGCAAAAATAACAGCCACAACCGCAACAAACTCCCATAAATCCCAGAATGTTATGCAGCAACACAACCGCAACGCCGTTAATGCCGGCAACGCCGGTACGCAAACAACATCAACCCGCCAACACTCCCAGCAACATCGTTCCCTTGTCAACGCTTGCAGGGAGCATTCAGAAGACCTTAAAATATCACACGGCATACATACATACACAGAGACACTCACACCTTGACAAATTTGCATTTAATGCGTATTTCCGGTTTGCTACTGTTGCCACCGCAACCAGGGCTGGATATGTGTATGCTGAAGCTAGAGTCGAACTGTTGCGAAGGTGGGCTTCAGAGCTTCCGAACTACAGCCAACTTGCCAGCCTCTGGTGGGGCTAAATGCTTTTGTTGTAATTGCTTTTTGTTGCTGCGCGTTGTTATTCACAAATACAAACTGGAGCTCAGAGTGAGTTAGACTCAGAAAAAGGAGAGTAAAACGGTGTGAAAGGGGGGGGGGAGTGGGCCGCAGTGCAACAGGAAGTATGAAGCAGCCTTGGCTGTGTGGTTGTTTATTAGTAATGACTCTCATGTCATTGTTGTGAAGCTTTATTGTAAGAATTTGTTGTTGTTTTTTTCGAGTTTCTGGCTTCGAAGTGTTGTTGTTGTTCACTGTTGGATATTTGCTGTATGCCAAGCTGCTGTTGGAAACAAAGCGAAGTAATGCGCTGAGGGTTGTTCCAGCTGCTCTTGCTGCTGCAACTCCGGGGTTGGAGATCCGTTGAAAGGGATGCAGGTGAGGGAACGTGTATTTATGTTAAGGTAAATGATAATTATAGCAACTTCATCATTATGACATATTATGATTTAAAGTTGCTTGTGTTAATGAAAAGACCTAAAACTGTTAGTGAAGTTGGCATTGAAGGGAAACTTTCTGTGAATAATTAGTTGATGAACTTAATAGAAAGAAATGGGAGTTGAAAAGAGCAAAAATAAAATATGGAGAGGCAGTAAGAAATATTTTAAAATGTTAATATTTTCTGATCCTGAGAGAGTTAAGTCTTTTAGTTAAATTTTTCGTTTAGTTAAATTGTCAACCTGAGAACGAGTGTGTCATTAAATAAGCAAGTGAGGGCGTTACTCACTTGAGTGACTTTGTGAGTGAGTGAGTTAGCGAAGGAGTTAGATAGTTAGCGGCGGATTCGGAGTAAAAGCGTGAATGAGTGAGTAAGTGAGTGAGTGAGTAAGTGAGGTAGAGAGTGGGTGAGTGAATTAGTGAATGGTTGACTGAAACATATCTCACCTGACTGAAACATATATATCAATTTCCCAAAAAAAAAATCATTTAAATTTAAAAATTCTAAGTAGAAACAAATTAGCTGTATAGAAGTTGGTAAAGTTTTTTTTTTATTTTTGAGCCGGAAAATTATTTTCTTTTTTAAGTTTTAAGTTCTTCGCATATTCTCAATCTGTCTTCTCTAAGCCATTGTTGTGAATTTTGTGAATAAAATAGAAATAAATAGCTTTATTTAATACAATTTATAAAACAAGGCTTTTCCAAAAATCTACAAAAAACTCAATCTGTGCCTGGTAGTTTTGCCAAAATTTTACCTGACATGAAAACTTATAAAAAAATTTACATTTCATTTTTTTTAACAGGAAATAATTTTTGTAGCAAAATTATACGTTAAAAAAATAACAACCAAACAAGTAATTTGTAAGCAAAAAACAAAACCGACTTCCATTCTCATATAAAAATTTAAGATTATCGTTAATTTCTTCACGTTCCAATTATCGGATCTAAACAAAATTAGTGTGGGAAAACCTTTCTCGAAATCGGTCAACGTGGTCCAAAGATATGCGGTAACATACATAAAAAAAAAAAAACAAAATTAAAAATATTCCGGCGAACTGATGACCTTCTCCTTTTTACGAAGTAGGTAAAAAAAAGGAAATTTTATCAGTTGAAAATTAATTTAAAATGAATTTATATTTCAAAAATGTTTTAATTGTTTTTATGTTGGTAAAATTAATAAAAAAAAATTTTTTTCTGGTTTCAGAAGAAACAAGTTTATTACGATGACTTCTCTTCAGCATTAGATTTTTTTTCGAAACAAAGAAATAATAATAAGAGAATTAAGAAGTAAAACAAAAATGTCAACTCTAAAATGTAGACAAGTAAAGCTTTTTCAACTACTATTCTAAAAATCGCATTTTAATCAAAGTATTTCATTTTTCTTAACTTGGAAATATATTTTTTTTAGTTGAATTTTTTTAAATTATAGATGTGGAAAATAAAAAATAAGATATCCAGAAAAATTGTTAAAGACTTTAATCAAAAAATATTTTAAGACATTAGGAAAGTTAAAATTTAAATTAGAAATAAAAACTTTATAATTTTTTCTACTTTGGTAAACTTAATTTTGCGAACTAAATTTTTGGGATTAATGTTTTTAATGACATGTAAAAATTCGAAAACATCGTAGAGAAAATTAATCCATCCCTTAGACAATTTAGAATATTTGCATAAAAAAAAGGATTATGAGCTGCAAAAAGTGAAATGTTTTGTTTTATTACTAAAAATGAAATATGTATTGCTTTTTCAGGTTCTTAAAGAGTACTAGATCAAAACTAGACTTCTGAGAAATAAACAAAAATTTAAAAAATGACAACAAACTCTGTTCATTTTTTCTAACTTTACAAATACTAAAAAAAATCGACTTTAGAAAAATTATTTGGGTAAGTTTAATAATTTAAAGTTTTAAACATTTCTACAAAATTATGCAAATTGAAAATAGATTTTTTTTTCAAGTAAAGTTTTATAATTCTAGCAAAATGAGAACAACAATATTTTAAGTTTTTCATTTAAAAAGAATCTAAAAATTTGTATAAAGGATTTAACAATTTTTTTAAATTATATTTCAGTAGGTTTTTCAAATAAAAGCTAAGAAATCAATACCAATTTGAGATAAATAAAACAAAACATTTTTTTTTATTTGAAGTTAATTATCTTCCTTTTTTATTTAGTTCAGAGATTCGTTTAAGTGCAGAACTTATGTGTGTAAGTCTCTACTTTGAAAATCCACTTTTTCCATTGCCTTCCCCCCTCCGCCAAGCGAATCCTACAAATTTATTGTATCACTTCAAGTTCTCAAGTGTTTACTAATGACCAAGTACAAATCCTAAGCATACACTTAGGCACGTGGCGTAGCTTTTTTGCCACCACCCGCTGAGTCGAAATGAAATGAGTATTAAAAGACGAACAAATTTATGTAAAATTTTCGGCAAAAACACGAATTGATTTATTTCATTGTGGTTTCCGGTGTTGAAGTTTTAGAGATTTACGCAGACGAGGAAAAAATAGGCAGCAACCCTAAAAGTAGATTACTAATGTAGCATTGAAGTGGATTTTTGGGGTTTACATGTTTCCAAATAGACAAGCCACCCCTTGTCTTAAGTGTTTTTTGTAAAGAATATTTAATAGCAAATTTTGTAAGCTGTAATGGCTTAAGTTCTCCGCAAAGAAATTTTACATTTAGGTACTTTTCGTTTTTGTATTTTTCATATTTTTCAATTGAATTCAAATTCTTTATATCTGCTTTAAATTATTTCCTAGAGTCACTTTCAACTTTGGAATACACATAACGTTTTTTCTAGCCACTAAACGCATGAAAATATACTTCACTCACCTTATCTTCCGCTTCCTCGGCGCGTTCTTCCGCCTCAATGACACGCTGCTCCAACTCGGATAACTGTAAATACAAGAAAAAAAAAGCACAGAAAGGATGAGTTAGTAAAGTTTCCATAACGAAAGTCAAATGATGTGGAATTAGATAAGTGGCATTTTATTACATATTTCTGCCTACGCAGCAGCAAGCATAAATTTTCAGGGTTGATTTTGTATAGTCGTACCTTTTATACTTCTGTGTGTGCAGCTAATAAAATGTTGCTGCAAAGTATGCAATAAAATATGGTGAAAACGGTTTACATATGAGTGAATTTATGAAAAATGTGCTCTGGTATTTTTTGCAATTAATTTAATGACTTTTCGAGTACTTTTCGTTGGGCGGAGATGTGAGCAGCTTAATTTTGAGTGTAGTATGGCTATAGGGCACGTGTAAATTTAACCAAATTCTGGGTGAGTGTACTTCATTACTGTATTTTCAATGTTTTTAAACAGCTTAAGAATGCTACGTTTTGAAATATTTTGCAAAGAAAATTTTCTCAAATAAAATTTTCCAAATATTTTATAAAGTTTTTAGGGTTTTCACTAAAATTTTATTATAAATTTAAATCGTAGCTTATAAAAAGACACAAATTTGCCTTTTTATATTAATTACCAACGTTTTGCTTTTAGATTATTGTTTCTGAGAAAAAATTTGCACGATTGTCTTATTGAAATCTTAAATTTAAAATTAAGTCGGTGTTAATTTTTATTTTTTATTTTTTTTCAAAATTTTTTAAATAAAAATTTTTAAGCAAAAACTTTCCAAAAAAAATAAAACATTGATTTTCAATAAGATTATTTAAATTTTTTTAATATAAACATATAAAAAAATTTCTAATACGCAAATTAACAAAAAAATGCAACTAAGTGAAGAATACTAAAATGAGTGCAACATAACATATGTGTCTATGCATTTGTCAAGACAATATGTTTTGTTTTAGTAGAACAAAGATTTTTAAATAAATTTTTTTAATTGTATTGTTTATAAAAATTTTTGTCTAAAAATAAGTCATGGTATTAAAAAATATTCAACTGTTCGTTGATTTTTGTTTCTTATTGTAACCTTATTTTGGAATTTTATTTTTATACCCGAGCGCACTTGTGCACAAGGGTATATTAATTTTGTTCACATAACGGTTGTTTGTAACAGCCAAAACGAATCGAGATAGACATAGACAAATGTATACATAAATGATTAGAATGAAAGGAGAAATCGATTAAGCCATGTCCGTCTGTCCGTCTGTCCGTCCGTCCGTGTACACGATAACTCGAGCACAAACTGAGATATCTCAACGAAATTTGGTATCGGAATCGGACAATAACCACGCCCACATCCCATATAACGGTAATTTAGAGAAATACAAAATCTTCGATATATCAGTAAATATTAAAGCTAATTTATTCAAAATTTATGCTTGCAACAATCTTTCCCAAGAAATACGTTTATGGTAAAATTTTGGAAAATGGGCGTGGCACCGCCGACGTATGATCACATATATGTATATCGGTAACTGTTATACCAATTTGTACCAAACTCGGTATTTTTATTGTCCTTGCCACAAAAAAGCATTGAAAACTATTGAAATCGGACTAAAATTACGGCCGCTTTTCATATTACGGTAAATTTCAGAAATGCTTGAAACTGGAATACTTCGAAATTTAAGGACGCTAATTTACTCACAATTGATGCACCCCGGCTTACCATCTAGCGGTAGCTTTCGGAAAGGTGAAAAAACATATATTTAATACTTGCGCCGGGTATTTAATGTTCGGCTCCATCCGAACTAAGACTTTCTTACTTGTTTTAAATAAAATTTAAAATAATTAAAGAAAATAGTATAAAAAATAGTTCCTTTAGCGCATATCGGTGAGGGCGACACCATGGGAATTTAGTAAAGGCAACAACCATAGTTAAAAAATAACCCACTCAACATGCAGCATGGCAGCACAGCATGCTAGAAGAAATTCACCTCAATCAAGCAAAGCTTTTGCTCACCGCCGGTAGATGGCGCCAGCTATGAATGTTGGAATTTTCAAGGAAAAACTGTATTAATTAAATTTTTGCGGAATTCGGATGAGGTGGCAAAGGCTGCAAAGGAGATAAGATGCGGCAGGATTATATGAGCAAGAGTTGTATTGCGTAATAAGTAAAGTATATACTTTTAGGGGCACTTGAGACTCGGACTGTAAAATTGATTCGAAAGTTTACATAAAAGAATGCATAGAAAAGGCCCTAATAAAGCAATGTACCTAATTTCCGTTATCGTTTTAAACTCATATCTGCAGTGGGACTCTGACAATCGTTATGCTAATTTTGATCGTTAAAACCTCCAAATGGAAAGCAGTGGGGCCTAAAAGTATACTACAACATGAAAAGGTAACAGATGCTATGTGTAATCAGCCAAATCTGGCAATATGTGGGATATGGAACTAGATGTTGCATGTTGTTANACCTCCAAATGGAAAGCAGTGGGGCCTAAAAGTATACTACAACATGAAAAAGTAACAGATATTATTTGTAATCAGTCAAATCTGGCAATATGAGGGATATGGAACTAGATGTTGCATGTTGTTNAAAAGTATACTACAACATGAAAAGGTAACAGATGCTATGTGTAATCAGCCAAATCTGGCAATATGTGGGATATGGAACTAGATGTTGCATGTTGTTAGGCGCGGCTGATATTCATTTAGAAATAGCGATAGTGATTTTCAGAATCCCACTACTGGTAGCCACTTTCAGGCATTTTGCTTTGAGCTATAGACTGTCAAAAACATATCGATACTCTTCAAACGGCGGTTAAAGGCAGTACATAGGTTATAAGAAGGACCGCTTTGTGTATTTCCATTTGTGTAGCGTGTGACGCGACAATTCGATGCCAGTTGCAAAGCCACTTAAAAGCGAATGCGTTGACACGCCCACCAAAAAAAAAAAGGAATCAGCGATAAAAGCGATGCATGAGACGAAGGAAAGTAAACACACACCTGCTCAATCAGAAAGGAAAGTGGCGCAAAGGGAAGGGACTATGAAAGGAAAAAATTGTGTAGTTAGGAAAATAAAAAAATAAAAAAGGCGGAGAAGCACTTGAGCCACTCGATACTGGGAAAGGGAAATACACTTAAAAGGGAATGGAGGCAATGGGCTTCCCATCCACAACTAAAAATTTCTAGGTAAGCGATAAAAGCCTGTATTCATTGAGTGCTCGTGAGTTTTAAGGAATAAAAAACAAAGCGCACATAAAGAGACGAATTGCTGGGAAATAGGCTAACGTCGGGAAAGCGTAGATAAACAAATAGTAAAAGGTGGGTCAGGTGGAGGGCAAGAAGGCAAGACGAGTTGAGACGGGGCGAAAGCTCGCAAGAAGTCTACATAGAAATCTGTCAGGCGATGTGAAGCCGCTGGGAGTGGCTGCAGTGAATGTTGAAATGTCGTCGACTAAACAGAGTTATGGGCTGTAGGCGGACAGACTGCCATTCAACTAAATAGCTATGTAACATTCAGCCAGCCAAAGAGACATTTGGCTAGCACATGCAAAACACTTCTGTGATTAATTGACGGAATTTGATGGCCCAGCTTAGGGTTGGATACAATTTCAAACGCCCAATTGGAAACCTAGAGGAAACTAAACCAGTGGAATGGCAAAGAGATACGGCAAAAGCATTTCCTTTATGAACAGATTAATAGCGCATAAGCGTGCCGGCAGAACACTTCTGGTTGTGGGTGTGTACCAAGGCAGCAACAAGAGTGGAAATGCTAATAAAGCTTATTGAGCAACAGCACACGACGAATTGAATGGAATTAACATTTTGAAAACAAAGTGAATTAGCATTTTTGGAAACACAGCCACAGAGCTCACCGGCAAACGTAAGGCAATGTCATGCTTGAATATGTTACTTAAATTTTGTCCTCAATATCCAGCTCGAGCAGGTTATTGCCTGGATTTCCTGTCGTACGTTTTTGGTTGAATTTTTTTGTTGATATTTTTTACTTTTTTAGTTTAGGTTATGAGCTGGCGAGTGGTTGTGTGCCAGTTTTTCGGCACACTTTCTTTTTGTACGAACTATTTTTGGACTGCCATCTTTGCTGTTGTTGTTACTGTTGTTTGTCGCCAGTGACAGACAGCTTTCAGGTTGCATTTTTCGTCTTGCGGAATTTACATCTTAACTGGTGTATGCAAAATCGAAAGAGGTATAAAGAAGGATGAGGTGGTTAAACAGTATCCAGAATAAAAGATAGAGAAGGACTTGAAAGTTAACTTTAAACAGTAAGCTATTGGACGCTGTGTGCAACTGGTGTCAATTTGGATCAGTTTGGACTGTTGTCAGACGGTTTGGTAGAGATGGAATGAAAGCCTTTAGGGCAATAATTCAAGAAAAAAATTTTCATTCAATAGCACTGTTTATTTTGTGAGATGTTATCCATTAAAAGTGAATACTTTTTAAGGTACATTTTCTTCAATAAAGCATTAATTTATCGGAAGCTTTTTAAGCGAGAGCTTAACTTACTTTGTGAAAACTTGCCACATATGGAAAGCTTTCATTTAAAACTGAAAGCTCTTTTGTGTACATATTCCAAAATTGTTCACCAATTTACTTGAAGCTTTTTAAGCGAAAGCTATAGATGTTTTGAGAAAGCATTTTTATAGAGGGTGAAAGCTTCTTTGCGCATATTTTGCAAATAGGTTAATCACACGTATGACAATTTTTTATACGAAAGCTTTAACGTTAAAAAATTATAGGTCGTGTTTTTAAAAGTTAAAGCTTTTCAGTCCAAATTTTTAAGCTATATTTACTTTATATGTAAATGAATGCTTTACTCTTTAAAGGGTACTTGTTAAACCACATTTTTAGGATATTTATTTAAATAGAAACGCTTTTCTATTGAAAGTGAAAACTTTTAATGCAATTTTTTTGGAATACTTCTTTTCATTAAATAGAAGCTTGTTAGATGAAAGCTCTACTACAAAAGTTAAAGCTCTACAGTTGAAAAATTAAGCTTTCCCGTTGGACATAAAGTTTTTTTAT